TGGCTCAGTGATTGGCTGCGGGGGGAACCCTAGGTGCCCCCCCCACAGACTCAGGAGGCATCAGCCACTGAGTTGGGGTGGGGGAAGGGGGGGCCTGCACACTCCCCAGCAGACCTGAAAGTGGACTGGAAGTGCTTCTAGTCCACTTCCAGGTATGCTGCTAAGCTCACTGGGGAGCTCTCCATGCTTCTCTGGGACACTCCATGCACCCCAGCATCGCAGCATTCATGAGCTCCTGCTACCTAAAGGTATGTAGAAAAAATATTTAAAGCTGTGTCTATGTCCAAATCACCAAATTGATTCAGAGGGTTCTGATTCAATTCAGAGAAATTAAAAGGTCCTCTGATTTGATTTGGGTTCAGAGATTCAACCACCGAATCGGGCCAAATCTCTGCCAAATCGAATCAGGGAATGAAGCTTCACACAGCCCTACTTGGTGCTGGCTGTGACTGTAGACTATAAATCCCAGGGGCACCTGGAAGCAGGAGGAGGAAGTAATAAGCAACCCAGGGGGGAGATGGGGGGAAAACAAGAAGAGAAAGCAAACACACAGCCCATGATGGCTCTGTGCCATAGAGCTGTGCTCTAGTGCCCCCTGGCTTCTGGCTTCAGCCACTGAAGGCATGTGGCTGCATGTCCTGAATCAAAAGTAAATGTTGGTTCATCTGCTTCTTGGTTCCATCTTAGCATTTTAGACTAATCTGCAAAGACTGAATTAATTCAGCCTTGGGCTTTTTGATTGTCTGTACTTAGCTTAGAAGGGTGTGTGCAGTCATTTGCCACTCTCAGGAGCTGCGTGGGGGAACTGGTGTGAGTAACTCAAATCGGAATAGAGGTGGGTGGGATCAGAGAGGGGCTTGCAGGTCTTTGGATGGGGGTGGGGTCAGAGTGCTAAAAAAGCCAAATCAGAGTGAGGGAGGTGGGAATAGTGCAGCACTGAGGTGAGTGGCTGGGCTTCCCCAGCCCCGAAGCAGCACTACAAATGTATGCAGGTGTTTATGAGGCAGTCCACCTGAGTAGGTGCACTAACTTAGATCAAGATTGGGTTAACTCTTTCTTAGATTGGGTTAATGAACTTGGATCAGGCATGCCATTTGTTTCGGGGGGGGGGTGCAATTTAAGCCCACCAGCTATAAATCTGAACAAACCAAGTCTTCAATCCTGCAATGAGCTCAAGTGGGGAGGGCAAATATTCTCACAGAGTTAATTTCAGGATCAGGGCCTAAAAAGCGACTAGTTGATTTATGTGCAGTATAGACAGCAGTATTTGCATGTTCTGAGAAAAATGTAACAGTTTACCAACTTTTTCTTTAGAAACCAAACTCCATGTAAATAATCTTCTAATACCAAATACAAAGAGTAAAAACTTCCCTGCTTTAACTACATGCTGCAACAAGGTATTTGAACTATATGTTACTTTTCTTATTTCTTTCTGCCCATCTCTGGCTGGTTCTAATCTGCAGTTCCCTGTATTTACCATAAGCCTACAGTGAAACTTTTCCACTTGCATAACCTAGCTTCTGACTAGCCTTGCAGGAGACCTGTGTTTTGGGTAATGGCACCTATAGTTTCAGGTATCTTACCCTCGAAAGTGCTTAACTGTGTTTTAATCAAGCCTATCTATTTAATAAATCCCAGCTTCAGTTAGGTTTGCAACTGTCTGTCCATTTCAGACATATTTAACAGTAGTCACCAACATCCTTGCCATAACATATGCATAAATTGTTCCCTAAAATGAAGGCTAGAATACTACTGACATTCAGACTCTTCTGATAAATGATCCTATACCAGTAACAGTAACCCCATGCCTTCTTTGACACACATTTGACTTATAACGTATGGTACATTACCATAATGTTCTACTGCAAATTGAATTTCTACTGGCAGCATAGCAAAAGTTGAAAACAAAAAGAATAAGACTTTATGCATAACATATTACATAACTTCCATTTACTAGAATATTAAAGACCCTTTCCTTTACACTGGCTGCATAAATGGACTTTAAATGAATAAAAATATAATTTGTTCCATTTTTTAAATTATTTTTGTTTATGTGTGTATACATATTAAACTATTCTTCTTCTGTCCTAAACGGGATATACAAGAATCCTGCTTGCTTTGGCCATTTCAATGTTTTGCCACTTCAGAAGAATCAAGCATTCAAGAACAGCAAATGGAAATGTACGTGGATATCACATATTTATTACCTGTTTGCTGACTTCCTACTAATGTTAAGCCATCTAGACTTAACAGTGATCCTTTAAACACAAAAATTTGCTGCGAAGCAAACAGCACAATTTCCTTCTGTGACATTTTCTGCCCTTACAAATTCTCTAGAAGTATCACAGAATATTAAATATAATCCTGACCACAGAGCTAAGGACCAGATTTTAAAGGTAGTTGAACACTGATGGGCCAAGACGCATGAATAATGTCACGTTGCATCACCTTTTCAGCAAATTTGAAAGTCAGTAGGAAGACTGAATACTGCAGAAAAAAAATGTTAAATTATTCAACTTTAACACGTTTATCTTATGTGCACATATCCACTGTAAAGGAATCACAAAAAGATTTTCTGGTGGGTTTTTTTTTTAAGTCTAAATTGTTCTTTTACATGATATATAGGCCTGTGTGAAGCAGCTAGTATTTGCTTTGGATTCAGATTTGGCTGATTTGGAGGAAAGTGATTCGATTTGGTGATTTGAATCACTGTCCTAAATTGATTCAGCCAAATCTGTTTTAGAGATTTGGTCACCGCCAAATTGGCTGAATCAAGCAGGCCCCATCTCCCGCCCACTCTCCCAGCCCCATCAATGGCTGCTCTACCTGGCCCCAGCCTCCAGGGTCTTTTAAAAAAACCAAAATCCATCATTCACTGGCTCCTGCCAGGTGGAGGGAGGGGGCAGTGATACCTGCTACCTGCTACCCGCCACTGCCCCACATTGTGTGGGGGGGTTCTGCCACAAGCCCCCAGAAGCCCTGATGGCTGCTGCAGCAGCTAGTGAGTGCATGGCTTTTTTTT